GTAAACAAGTATCTACATGGGGAAAAGATTTCAGATTGTAGAGGGCTCTTTAATTTAGCAGAAAAAGGCTAACAATATCTAATGGTTGAAAACTGAAGCTAGACAAATTCATACTAGAAATAGGGAAGAATTTTATAGCAATGAGTATAATTAACTATTAGAACAACTTACCTCTCCATCCCTTGGAGTCTTCAAACCAAGACTGCATGTCTTTCTAAAATAGATGATTGATGCAGATATTACTGGGTAAGGTTCTATGGCCTGTATTATGCAGATCAGACTGGATTATTAAAATAGTCCCTGATGGCCTTAAAAAAAATCTATGAATATGGTGGGGTGGGGGCAAAGTAAAAGTTCCCTGGAAGTACTTCTGTAGCCAGCTTCCTGCCCTGAAGCTTCATCCCCTCTTCCATGTAGAGATGTGTCTGAACATTCCCATTTGACTTAATTCAGCATCCAAGTTAGTTGTTTTCTATTTCTGGTCAGGTGAGTGAGGCACAGTATGTGACCACGCAGCAGAGAAAAATCCATAACTGGAGATTTATGGGAGAGGAGACATTTGTGTCTCCTGAATACAGGACTGACGTGAGCTGGATGAAGTTCATCATTTGCAGCCAGAAACCATAGTCTTGAAACAAAGCACATACAATTTAACTACCTGCTGTAAGGCTAAGAGGATGAAAGTAGATCACGTCACCACATACTTTCATCAACCAAATTTAGCCTCCTCAAAAAAAGATATCAAGTTAGTTTCTCACGTTGACTGGCATTAATTATATTACCCTCTTTTAATTCTTTATTAATCAACTCCCATATCAGCCACTCTATTATCTTGTCTGTGATCGAAGTCAGACTGGCAGGCCTATAATTACCTGGGTCATCCCATTACTCATTTTAAATATTGGTTCAACATTGGCTCTCTTCCAGTCTTCTGAAACTTCCCCAGTGTACCAAGAGCGATTGAAAAGTCAACATTAACAGTTCAGCAAGCTCCTCAGCCAAAATCTTGCCCTCTATTGGTGCCTGCACATTATTTAGTTGCAGCATATACATTTTCCAGGCTGCTAGCCAATTGGGGACAGGCTATTGCAATGATCTCTTTAGCCAACTATACCACCTCTGCTCCATATCCAGAGGGTGCACCCCCACCAGATGGCATCTCCCACTGTCTTGCTTTGCTTCACCTATGTGTCCTTGAACCTTTGTCCTCTCTGTAGAAGTCTGTGGCAGGACAGCATATACATTTTGTGACATTCTATACCTAGTCTAGACTGCATGCTTACATGTTATTTCTTTTGGTAACTAACTCTGACTTTTTACCTATCACTTAAAATCACTTAAAATCTACCTTTTATAGTCAATAAATTTGTTTAATTGTTTATTTTTACCAGTGAATTTGTATGAAGTGTGGGGCAAATCTGCTCAGGTTGGCAAAGGCTGGTGTATGTCCACTTTCCATTGTTGAAGTGGTGAACCAATTAATAAATTTGCACTGCCCATCTTGAGCAGTGCAAGGTGGTACATTCCTGGGGTACAGTGCTGGGAACTGGGGGGATTTGGCTGGTGCCTTTCTCTGTGTGATTCATGAGGGGATTCCGTCACACATCTACAAAAGTTACTAAAGAAATCAAGAGCACAATTTTTTTGTGATAAAGTGGGAAATTATGATTCATGATACTCTTTTATGTGCTGAATACCAAGAAAATGTTATAAAAAGAAAAGAATTTGACCAGGGCCAGCCTTAGGTACGGTTGCCAAGCCTCCAGGATTGTCCTGGAGTCTCCAGGAATTAAAGAATAGTCTGTAATTAAAGATTATGTCATGTGATGAAACCTCCAGGAATATGTCCAGCCAAAATTGGCAACCCCAGCCTTAGCGATAATGGCACCATGGATGAATTTGTATTTTGGTGCTCTCCCATCACCCCTGGCCCCACCCCCCATCACCTCTGGGCTCCGCTGCCTCCCCCCAGTGCTTACTTTGTATTGAAAGAGGTGCTAGATCTCAGTCCTGGCACACTTTAAGCACTGGCAAGGCAGCCTGATAGCAGCCCTGCTCTGAAGGCAACACCACAGCCACCAGCAGCGCAGAAGTAAGGGTGTCATGGTATATGGCCACCCTTACTTCTGCGCTGCTGCAGTGGCTCATGGTGCCTGGCACTCTGCCTGAGGCTTAAGGCATGCTTTACACAGTCACATGGGGGCTGCATCTTGACAGAGCCCACAGCCCTCTGGCCACGCTTGGTTCACCAGGGGTGCCATTTCAGATTTTGGTGGGGTGGGGCAACTTTAATCATTATTCCAGTGGCTACTTAGGCACCTGAAAACTCTAGGGTTATTTTTGTAGATAATAATTTAGGAATTAGCAAAATACTCCCAATCTCAAGCCTTCAAATATCAATTCTGGAGCTTTAACACAGATATCAGAAACACAAGTTTGATACTTTGTAAACTATCTTTAGTAGAGATAAATAAAAATAAATAAAATCTGCTTAATATCCGTTTACTTCCTCTAACAGACAAATTCTAGGTCACTGCCATTATCTACTCTATTGTAGTTAATTGATTTTCATTCCACTAAAAACGTATTTACTGAATTTTAACATATGTGATTAAGGTTTATTTCTCTTTTATTAAGAACAGGGATTTATTTTTCTAATTGTTTTGGCATTTATGTTTACCAATCACAATCATGTACGTGCCTCACTAACATTTGACTCTATCATTACTCTCTGTATCATTCTTGGAACTGCATTTATTTTCATACAAATTTTAAGTTATTTTACAGATATAACTAAAAATACAATTTGAAAATAAGCGACTTTCATCTGCATAGTGTCTAAAATTATGTGTTTGGCTAATGTTTTTTAAACTGGCACTGCTAAGATGAGTACAAACTAAATTTACATTCTAGAAGAATACTATTATTTGATTGTATTATTTTAAATAATGAATGGCAAAGAACAATATGGTAATAAAAGTAATAATGATAATTATTCCAGCCAGGACAGGTTAGGCATTTTAGAACTCACAACTCAAAGAATTAAATTTAAGCATAAGAGAGAAATAAAATTATGAAATGCACAGACCAGTCAAAAAACTAAAATAACAGCACTGTAATCCTTAAAGAACTTTGAAAGAATAAAATGATAGAAAATATATGTGCATTGCACATTTCAACAGGCAGTACCAAGAAGTAATAAGAACAACAATAATATAAGTGCGTTTTGGGGGGGAGAGTGTGTGTTTTGGGGGAGTGAGAGAGAGACAAAGAGAGAGAGAGTGTGTGTGAGAGAGAGAGAGTGAGAGAGAGACAGAGTGTGTGTGTTGGGGGAATATGAGAAAGACAGTGTGTGTTGGGGGAGTGTGAGACACAGTGTGTGTGTGTTGGGGGAGTGTGAGACACAGTGTGTGTGTGTTGGGGGAGTGTGAGAGAGTAACGCTGTCACTTTAAGCAAAGCACTCACTAGTCTGAAGGCTTGTTCAGACAGCAGCCCCTGCCAGCAGCTCCCACTCCTGATTCAGAAGCAGCAGTGCAGACTACCCCCACCCCAGCTCAGAGGAGACTGGGTATATAGGTGGGGGGAGGCGGACACCCCAACGTCAGCCTCCTGCCGCCGCTCTGCACAGCAGACTCCTGGGAAGAGATTGGCCAGAGGCTGCTCCAAGGTGAGGGGCAGGAGCAGCAGCAGCAGCAGATGGCAGCAGAGCCAAGCAGCAGGGTGAGGAGAGGCACCCCTGCTCTGGAGGTGCTCCCCTTTAGAATGGCATCCCGGGCAGTTGCCTAGTCCGCCCACCCCTCAGCCCAGCCCTGAATTTGATTAATCTGCATTGCAACAAAGGAAATTAGTTAATTTCAAGTGCATTTATTTTGAGGTAAACATGAATATGACAAGCATATTTTTTCATATTAGTGTACTGTTACATATGTTATTGTATTATTAAACAAAAGCAGAAAGCACAGTCTTATGGACTAATCTGTCACTAATATATTCTATTTTATGCCAGTCTACTGTACTTAAGCACCATATAGAAAAATATACAAATTGGAAAAATGATACCAAGATTTTACATACATTGTGATTGGTCCTGCAATTGATTGCACACCGAAAAAGCAGTCCACTGCATACTGTCAATTACAACATCAGGGCCTATCAGCATTAGTTCAAATCTCTGATTTTCTAGTTGTCAGTTGCGGGAGGAGAGTGAAGTAGGGACTGCATGAGTATTTATCATCAAAATGCTGTCTACAGTAGAATATTTCTGACATTTTTCTAGCTAGTATTTTCTTATTATAAGATTTTTACCAAAAGCCAGATAAGCCATGCTAAAAAAAACATTCTAACATTGATTTTTCTGAAATTCTTAAAGTGGAATTTCTCAAAAAAAAGTTTTTTAAAGTCAATTAAAAAAATGAATAAAATCTTTGTAAACTGATTAGTCCTGGAACTTAAGCTTATTAACACAGAAGCAAAACATATTCTTTTCTATTCATGCATTTAAAGATACTATATGGTCTTTGAGTGACAGACAGCCACATTCTACATGATGAAAGAATAAAACTCTTTGTTGTGTTCGTGATAACAATGAAAGATTAAAAACAATATGTTGTGTCTAATAGTTGATTTAGGACTGAATTGCACCACTAAACCAAACTGTTTTTTTTTTTTTTTTTTTTACAACTGATAATGTAAATAGATTAAAATTAGATAATCCCTGTTTTCATGCACAGATTGCTTTTATGTAAATACTAATTAATTTCATATTCAATAAATTTTCTTAAGAGTGGCATTAAAATTGTGTGTTAAAGTGAGTTAGTATTTGGGGTTTTATTTACTTTATGCTATCAGCCTTGTAAAAGCAGTGCAAAACTTTTAAATGCAATCGCTACATTGAGGCAAACCTGCCACACCCCAGCCAAACAAAAAATACTCAGGATATGTAAAAACAAGCAGAATTGTGCTCCATTAATCATGACTTTTTAGGACTTAATTCAACAACAACAAAATCTTTTTTCATAACATAGACATCTACAGACACGAGGCCAGGGAGGCTACAGATTGCTTGCATAACCCATAGCTGTATTAAAGCCTTATTATTTAATTCTAGAATTTGATACAGGTAGAATTCCAAAGTCTCATGATGTTTACATTTATCACTGTAACATTTTGTAACTGGCTGTAGCTCTGTACTATTGCCTGCATTCCTTTTAATTTTTTTAAAGCCACAACCTGGGGAAAATATTTGTTCAGTACTGCATGCCAGTCTAGCAAAACTGGATAGGATTAATTTCTGCCTCATACCATGTCCAGCTTTTATGTAAAGTGCATTATTAACAAGTAATACATAACTAAGCTGAAATCCATACTCTGGCAAAAAAGTTACAGAAACACAATGCTATATATTAAGTAGCATTGTATTAACTAACATGATAAAAATATTAGCTAATACTTTGACATTTTGTTTTCATTACATTGTACAGAATTAGACATCTTAAAATCAGGAGATTTTATTAAACTGAATCAGTAAGATTATAATAGTAAGACTTACAGCTGTTGGACATCAGTACCTCTTAATTAATTAACCTCTTAATCAATAATTCACATTATCCTGTATCACAACTGCTACTTATAGTTGTTTTTAAATGACAGCTTTGTTGGCTCATGAGTACTTACAACCTGTACATTCCACACTTAGTCAATAGTTGTACTACAGAATGCATTCTCATCCCTGTTTTAACACAATCTTCATATAATATTCATTTTCTAAAAACAAATTCACATCCCCTCCACATGGAAATAATTTTTCACCACTGCCAAAAGGCACATTCACCAGAATGAAAAAAAAAATTCTTTAAATGAAAGGCACAGCTCAAAATAAATACGAACAACAAATATCTTTAAAAACACATTCTCTAAGATACACTTTTATAGGCCAGACAACAGTGTAAGTCAACCCTTAAAACAAAACACATACTGAAAAAGTGCTTGAAAAAAATCCATGAATAGATCAGCAAATCAAGTGAAAAAACCCAATGGTGATTCAGTGCATAGTGCTGCAAGTGAAAGATACATAGTTTACCTGTGTTATGCCGTTTTTCACACACAATATCTAGAAAAAATAGTAGCAACCAAATGCTGAAGTTTTTTCTTTCCTTCAGTTTTTTATCCTAGCATATCTCGACTCCGAAATTGCTTCCAGAGCTCTCTTAAATGTTTGCTTGTTACAGTTGTCACACAAACATAGTAACCCTTCAAACCATATTTTGGGGTCTCCTGTTAAAAATGAACAAGTATAGAATTAGAAACAGATACTGTGCATTAAATTCCTTGACACTAGATTATATTTTACAGGTGTTCATACAAACTAGGTAAATTTTTCATGACTACAACCAGGAAGTGCTAAATCCTCAGATTAGGGAGCGAAAACAGGCAAAGTAATATCTTTTATTGGACAAACTTCTGTTGAGAGAAACAAGTTTTCGAGCTTACACAGAGCTCTTCTTCAGGTCTGACATGTAGATCCTTGCACATAAACATGGTTGTGGATCTGTCTGAAGATAAGTAAGTGGTTTCCAGAACTGCACCTCCACTGCCAAGCACCTGGTTAGTATTCACCCAATAACTTAGTCTATATTGGTAGCTAAATGAAAACATATCCTCTTGTTCAGAAGTCTCCTGCTTTTAAGATAATTTCTTCATTTTCATAGCTGTATCAAAAGGTTCACATTTTTACACAATAAAATAAAAATACCAAAATTTCTTGGTGCTTGTGGAAGACTCATGGCAGTGGCTATAGCCAAGTATAAAATGAAGGCAGATGATACACAAACTTCCTTGCACTGTTATGTCAATTCTGAACTATGAGATTTCTGTTATTTCAATCCTGGGCCATCCAATAAAAAATTACTATTATGCTGAATGGTACTGCAGTTCTGCGACATTGACAAATACCCAGTAGAGAGTAGGCTGAATAGGGCGCAAAGATGGTCTAGTGGTTAGGGCTCCAACACAGGACCCAGAAGTCTAGGGTTCAATTCCATGCTCTGCAAGACTTCCTGTATGACCTCCAACACATCACTGAGTCTGTTACTTAGTTCCCTGCTCACGTGCATCTTGTGTAATCTACTAACTTACATTAAGGGTATGTCTACACTACAGGATTAATCCGAATTTAGATAATTCGAATTTGGGAAACAGGTTGTATAAATTCGATTGTGCGCGGCCACACTAAGCACCTTAATTCGGTTTTAAACCACATTAATTCGGTGGTGTGCGGCCACACTACCCCATTAACTTAAATACAGTAATTCGGTGGTGTGCGTCCACACTAACCCTAATTCGAATTAACAAAATCGATTTAGGCTCTACTCCGTTCGTCGAGGTGGAGTACAGAAATCGATTTAAAGGGCCCTTTAATTCGAATTAACTGGCTCTGTAGTGTGGACGGGTGAAGGGTTAATTCGGATTAAGGCAGCTAAATCCGAATTAAAGTCCTAGTGTAGACCAGGCCTTAGATAAAGAAGAGATCAGATACTACAGGGGCAAGGTAACCAAAGATTTATCTTTATTTTTAAATTTATAAGATAGATTCATCAATTGTTCCTGGGCATAAACTCAATATTTTTAAAAATACACTCATAAACCACACTACTCTAGCCATTTATCTATGTATTTCTAATGTGCGAGCACTGCTGTAGCTAGTCTCAGTATATCAAATTAGGAGAATTTTTTCCTCTAAAAACCATACTCTCCAATGTTTTCACAGTTTTCTAAGTGAGTGTATTGTCTTGTTATTTTTTTAGACTATTTAACATACTCACTCTATGTATTTAGATACACAACCCAATTTGCCCCTTCGTAAAATGTCTGAAAAGAAAAATGGGTCTTGTATTGTATTTTTAAGGGCCCTCAATTGAGAACTTCCAAGATGAAAAATTATCTGATATAGTTTGATAGACTACAATCCAGCACATTTAAATGAGGAAAAGCTTCATACATGGACTCGGAAGGTTCCTAACATGGCCTTTCCAAATCTGATTTGAAGTAAACGTAGCTACCATCACAAATAAGCCGCTGCTGCCACTGCACACCAGTAGCGGCAGCATGTCAGGTCTGCGTAGTTACATTTTGCAGTGAAAAGCGAGCTGCGGGAAAGACTCTGGCAGCAGAGAAAGGTTCCGGCAGCTGATACTTGTATTGAGAGGCGTAATGCCAATACGCTTTCTAGAAGAAATGGGAAATGCTAGCTCCTCTCTTGCATGGCTGGGAACACAGTATATAGTTAGCAGTCAAATAACAAATATCCCTGTGTAACAAACACTGACTGAAGTACAGCACATTTTGGAGAGTAAGATTCTTCCTTGCAGAGCTTAAAACTAGACTTTCTTCAGCTATGAATCCAATATGATCTAAAATTTCCCCTAAAATTCGGAGTGAAAAATAGTTGAGAGAATTAAACAATAAACCAAACAGTGTCATTACTATATTCAATCTTTTTTTATCCAATATAATCCATCTACCTACAAGACTATTGTTCACACAACACTAAAACTGGATTGGTAATCCCAGTTTTCTGCACAATCAGTAAAGAGAAGTCATTGCTCACCTTTCACTTTGCCTGTTTCAGAGAAAAGACCTAGCAACAATGTTTCCGAGACAGTTAGCTGGTTTTCCTAATATTGCTTGTTATGATGGTCAAGTTTAAGTGTATAAAAAGATAGCCTTTTATTACGAGAATTGTACATTGGGAATGCATAGCAATTAAAGGTTTTTAAAACATTTACCACATGACAAATCTAAATCTTGTTTGTATAAAACATTTATATTAGATAAGAAACTGAATAAGAAAACATAACTAGAAATTAGCTTTTAGAATTCATACTTATGTTATCAGTCTTCTACTGTTTTTTCTTAACAGTTTCTTGTTCCCTTTCTTGCTCAACCAAGTGAACTCCTACTGATGCTAATTCACATGCTATGCTTTGCAGGGACAGCCACAGAGAGAGAGACAAGATCTGCAAGACTTGTCAACTGTTTGAACCAGGCAAAGTTTGGATCTTGTTCCCCAAGGACAGATTTCATTATTTATTATAAGGGTAGCATACTTCATGCTATGAAGCAAATGCCATTAGTGCAATTTAGAGATATGTAACACATAGCAGAATGTGCTTCTCTTTCTTTTGGGGTACAGATTCAAAGTGTGATATAATCAGTGATAAGCATGCCAAATATTTTAATCTCTTTTTATCACTGATCTAAGTCCACCATACAAATCATATCCAAGTATAGACTTAGAGTCTTTACATTTATATTTGGAACAAAGTAAAATTGAGAGTTATCATACTGCATCTAACCTGGGTGATAAATGTGGTAGATTTTTATATTGCAGACATACTACGTGTTTCTTTGTATATGAGGTTGATGTTTAAATTAATTAATTTTCTGAAATAAATGTTCAGTTTCACCGCTGTTAATGGCTCTGCCTTTATTCTCTTTTCAATTATTCTGTAGTTTACTTTTGCAATGACTTTTTAAAAGGGTATATAAACTCACTTTCATTTCAGAATATGTATAGTGTGAATAGTGCAGGTTCTATTGTCCCCAAGACAACTCTCAGAGCAGCAGGCTCAAAATCACATCACTTATGTTTTTAATTAATACAGTTGGCCAAAGCTTGCTTCAATTTCAGCTCACCAATCTTCATAACACAGATTAGTATTATAAATGAATGCAACATCTTTTATCCAAAAGGAACGGAAATTACCTCACAAAGTACATATGGTATGGTACATACATCACTACTGAAATGCAACTGCCACTAGGGTGGAGGGCATTAACCAACTGGTGCACATTAAGGGAAGGGGGAATTTTAGCGAAGGCAAAGAGGGTTAAAACAGCAACTCTTACAAGAAGCTCCAAGAGAATGTTCAGGTACATCAGACAGGACTTCAGTTTTTCAGTCTCACCTGAAAGAGTCTACATGTAGTACACTGCATGGTATTCAGTTTATTTATGTCAGAAGGATGAATTAACTCTGCCTGGATTTAAACATCTGGTTTCAGTGAGTATGGGCACTTAAACTTGATGCTTAAAACACAAAGCCTCTCATGTCTCAAGAGAATTTTATAGGTTTAATATTAATGTTTTGGAGTTCTTTTGAGTGATAACATTTTGTTCCAATTTTGGAAAATACTTACTATTGAAACTCACTAAAAAGGCACTGTAAATGTACAGCACTTTACCAATCTATTTAGGACATGATACCTGCCCTGAAGTTATTGTCTAGAGTATAAAAGGAAAAACAAAGGTATGTCAAGGCATGTAACAACAGTACAGGAAAAGGAGGATGTGTAAGGATTATTGGGGAAGTATCGTACTCCTGGAAGAAACTGCAGGATTGGGGTTTCAGTTAACAAGAGATTGAATAAGGTAGGAACGAAGGAAAGAAAGATAATGCTCATGTTATGAAACTGGGAATCAAAAGAGTGAGCCTCAGAGGTGAAGATAAAATTAATCTAAAATAATTTTTCTTACCTTGTGTGATTAACCAGTTAGATTATTAAATTGAATGAATTTTAAAAATCACTTTGTTTTTACCACTTCACCTGTCATTTACATTTCACTTCACTTGTGCAGAGAAACTAGAGTTTTGCCTGTTTAAAATGAGTTACTTTCCAGTTCTGAGGCACTAACACAATAGTGCGTATTTGAGTTGGACCCACACATACGATTTTTACATTACAAAGTGTAATCAAAATTTAGTTTTCTTTTTTGGAAAATAAAGTCCTATTGATTCTAAGTTTCATACGTGACTGAGTGGGATATGTCTGAGGCAAATTTTGAGCTCTATTTTGTGGGTGTGTGGAAATATTGGATACGGACAGCACAAGCCTGCACATACCCAAAGACAACCTATTGTACTACACTCCTGAGAGCTGCCCTGCCCAGCAAAGGTGTTTGATACCTTGCTGAAGGACTAACACTAAGGGTATATCTAACACAGCAGTTGGGAGGTGTAATTCTCAGCTCAGGTAGACCTGCACGCACTAGCTCTGCTTGAGCTAGCATAGCTGCAGCTACACGGGTGTTGGCTCAGACTAGCTGTCCGAGTACAATCCCACCTGAGTCCCTGGGTACATGCACAGGCAGCTAGCCCAAGCTGCTGCCAATGCTGCCATGGCCACACTGCTATTTTTAGGCACTAGTTCAAACAGAGCTAGCACATGTACATCTACCCAAGCGGGGAATGACAAGCTGCTATATAGATGTTCCCC